TCCAGAGGGGGGTGGGGGTGATTCATAAAACAGGAGATTGAGAAATGATATGAATCCAAAGAGGAGCATGTCATCTCAGTGGAAGTTTAAATAATAAAACTCACCAAAACTGGAACCATCAAGAGTTATCTCACCACGACAGACGTAAGCAAAATGTGCTCGTGTCTGAGTGTCTGTTTGAATGTTTGTCATCTTCCTATTGTCCCCAGTTTGTAGGCAGCAGGAAGTGGGCGTTGCTCAGATCTCATGAAGCCGCTTTAACAGGAAGCAGTGCAGCATTCGCAATCAGATTGGACTTCTTTCCTCTGCCCTTCACTTTTGTGCCAAGTTTCATAACCCTGACACCTTTTATAACAACACATCTCTGTGGAAAACAGCAACAGTCTAGGCAGGGACAACTTTTCCCATAGGCCACTTCTGTCTGAGCTCGTATGCAAGCAGCAAAGACACTGTTCAGGCAAATCCAGCAGGTTTTATTCATCTTTCATTTAAAATAAATGTAAGGTGATGTATCAGGGTGAAGCGTCTTTGACTGGAAAAATGATGCAACTGTTCTAATTTGCAAATGTTTTCAATATTTTAATCATTGTTCTAGCAAAAATGTTGATTTCCTAGTTGTTTTTTTTTTGTCAAATATGGCACCAATCACATAAACTGTCATGAGAGTTTGTCACTATTTTTGACATTTTATAGGCCAAGCGAGATTAAAAAAAATACTGGCAGGTAAATTCATTCCTTGCAGCCATAAGCTCAGTAGTTAAAAGATGTTTTCCTTATAAACACATTGAGCAACAAATTCATCATCATTGCTTTGTCAGGATGAATGTGTATGTTGTCAGAACAGAGCAGTGGTGCAATAACCGGTCCTCATGTGATTCAGCTGCAAAGATACATCAGATGACTTCCTGGCTGCTTGACCTCAATTCGCCGAATGCACTGTAGAAGAAAAACACAGCTTCACTGCCTAACACTTGAAACAAGGGCCGTGATGCTAATGCAACACAGGCTTAGAACTCCCTCCCCACCCTGCATAACCCTGAAAGAGTCAGTTCATCTGAAGTCCAAAAAAAAAAATCATATTTTCACATTACTCTTAATGGCCATGTTGCTAGTTTTGGTTTTATTTGTCCTGGTTTTGAGAATCTGTGCATCCACCCCGATACAATGGATGTGTGTAAACTGTTCAGGGTGAGGTGGTGTCAAGAACTTGACAAAGCGAAAAATATTCCTGCTTCTGGTTCAGTCTTTCAGCTGGACGCACACATTACTACCACCAAGGTCCCTCTCTTTCTGTTTTCTCCCTCAGGTGGGAGATCGAGTCATTGCATTGAGCCGCAGTGGCATGTGGCAGGAAGTGGTTGTCGTGTCTGCTGACCACACCTTCCCCATGCCTGAGCACATGAGCTTTGAGGAAGGTGCTGCTCTACCGATTAACTACTTAACTGCTTACTTGATGCTGTTTGACGTGGCTAATGTGAGGCCAGGCAAGAGTGTTCTTATACACATGGCAGCAGGTAAGACGCACTCAGTGCAGACAGATAAGCTAATGCAGTGAGTACAAATTTCTGCCCGTTCTGTCAAAATAATATCAGTGATATCTGACACACTGATGAGAAAACAAATGATGAAATCCCCTTGTCTTGAGCTGATCATTTAAAAAAAAAAAAAAAAGCTGTCAGCAGATACTTGGATGAATCACTCCAGAAAGTTGCAACCTAATCCAACAAGATTACAAATCAAATTGTTTCTTTAGGATTTTGCTTCTGCTGTTGCTTTTACATGTTGGCTTTACGGTACATGGCACAGCAAATAATATGGATTTTGTTTTGTGTACAGGTTTTTTGAACCCATATGCAGCAGAAGCAGTGCCATTTAGTGCAGAAATTAATTATTCATCAAATAAATCATCCAGTGAAAATAAATGGTTTATTTCAGTTTAATCAGTAGTCATTCAAGAAAAATAAAATATTTGTTGGTTGCTGCTCCTTATTTACTCCTGGCCAGGCACATCTCTGCTGTGTAGTGGTGGTCCCACTTTGAACGGGATTAAGTTTGTCTGGTCTTAGGTACGTGTGAGTCAGCCTAGGAAGTAATTTTATTCAGCCATTCTTTCTATTAGGTCATCACTGTGCTAACACTGCACTTAAAACCACTGTAGTTTCATTGTCTGATTAAATCACTGAGTGTTTCACAGAGGAGGTTGAAGTCTGTACTACTGCAGGAGAAAAGTCTGCATTTGCTGCTGTTCTCAGTCATGTTTGTGGTGTTGTCTGCACGTATCTGTAGGCGGTGTGGGTATCGCTGCCACCCAGTTGTGCCAGACTGTGCAGGATGTGACTGTGTTTGGCACTGCATCAGCCTCCAAACATGAGACCATTGCCCAAGGCGGCGTAACTCACCCCATCGACTACCGCACCAAAGACTACGTGCAGGAAATCCTAAAAATCAGCCCGACAGGTGAGAACGGACACTCGGGTCGACCTCTTGTGCTGCACAAAAAAAAACAAAAATGCCTCTTTCTCATCTAGAGAGTTCATATTTTCATGTCTTTTGTTTCTTGTATGCCAAGTTGATGTAGTGATATAAAAAGCTCCTTTCTCATTCTGCCCCATCTATTGCTCTTATTTGGTTCTGTCTCTCTGCAGGCGTGGACATCGTCCTCGACCCGCTGGGTGGCTTAGACACCCAGAAAGGTTTTAATTTGTTGAAACCTTTGGGCATGCTTATAGTGTTTGGTAAGATACAACAACACAGATTAACATTTTCCATGTTTTTGTGGAGTTTACCTTAATAAATCTACATTTTTATTTTATTTGAATGTTATGTACTAAGTGAAACTCAATATGAGAATAAGTTCATATTGTATACTTACTACAGCTTCATTCATTTTACCCATCACAGTTTCTCTACAGGATAACTACCATGATTTCTTCTCTGGGTGATTTCTAATCTGTTGTCTGTCATTCTAGGTGCGGCCAATTGTATGACAGGCCAAAAGAAGAACTTGTTGGCCTTGGCAAAGACCTGGTACAACCAGCTCTCTCTCAGCACCTTGAAACTGATGCAAGCCAACAAGGGCATCTCCGGCTTCCACCTGGGCAACTTAATTGATGAGCAGCTCGTCAGCAGGACGATGTACGAGCTGCTGGAGCTGTACAAGCAGGGAAAGATCAAGCTCCGCATTGACTCGTGCTATCACTTCGAGGAGGTTGGTGTGATTTGTTTTAAATGTAAAGGAGGTGCAACTGTTTGAATGTGCATGGTTTCGGTGATTGTATTGATATGAAACGGTCTACCTCCACTTCTCTGCTGCACCTCTTCACTGTTCCTATCAATTAAAGGCAAAACTGAATCTTTGCTGATTTGTTGCACATGGCTCTTAAAAGAACAGGGAACATTTCTGGAAAATCCTTAATAACATGAGATGTGACAGTTTAATCAATCTTCTCATCTAATGAGAAACAAATATATGTATTTCTCAAAATAATTCTCATAAGCCAGTTTGATCTAAATGTTTTCTACACTCAAGGTATTCACAGACATGGGATGAATGTCTCTAGAAGTAAAGACAGGAGGTCCACCGAAGCTTTTCCTGCTTCACAACCAAGGAAAACCAGTCCTAAAACCCGTTTTCCTATTTTCACTCATGTGGCAGATGATCAGACCTCGGGCTGTTGCTACATGTAGGCGATGGCCTAAACTGGTGCTGTGGCATTAAATACTAGTGGGGACCAGATCTTTATTGACTCTATAGGGACCTTTTTTTACAGTAATGGCAGATCATGGGAACATTGAATAGTTTCAACCATGAGGAGGTGCATTGACTTGCTGTTTTCTAAAGTAAGAAGTTGAAATCAAAAGCAGTAAATATCCTTGTGACATTTTAAGTTAGTGGCATGTCAAAACACATTTCACAACCTTTGTCTCCCTCAAATATTGGATCACCTTAATGATTGGGTGCCTAGCTAACTATAACAGAATTAGTTTGCAAGGCTGTTCAAGTCATTACAAGTGGTAATTTGCTGATAAATCCTGCTGTTCTCCACAGAAAACAAGGTATTTGAATCAGCTGTTTTGACATGAGTCACATGACTTGCTGTCGTTTTTGACCCCTCAGTGTCCCGACTCCTCTGTCTTAAGGGCTCTGGTGGGGACATCTGTGTTCTGACTTTCTCTGGCTGGTTTCAGCGGAAGACTGGATTAATGCAGGACAATCCCAGCCGTGTGTTTGGGAGCAGAAAATGAACAATAACTGAGTCAGGAAATTGTAGGAAGGGCAGAGATGCATAGATATCATTGTTTTATTTCATTAATCTTTCCTCTCATTAGTGCATGCTTAAGTACTTACAGCAAATCTTGTCTTTTGAAAAGTTTTGTTAACCAAGGAAATGGAATCTGGATATGCTTCAGTTTTGGACTGGTTATTTATAGGTGTGTGAAACGTATCGGAGGGTTAACATGTGAAAACAAATGTAATAACCCTTCTTGATGCTACCTGCTGAGCACCAAGCGACAAAGTTAGCAACTAGCTCCTGAACACAGTGAAACATTTAGCAGCTAAAGAACCAGATGACTTCCTCAAGAATTAGTGGAGACCCACAGAGAGTGAACATTGGGCTTAAATTAACCAACCATAACCAGTCCTTAGTTAAAATGTTGTATTATATAGCAGTGTGTTGCTATTTACTCTGTCTTGTTACAGCGTAAATTATTTTTCTCACTGTGTCAAATCTGATGAGGTGAATGTATGTTATTGTTGACTACTTTCCACATTTGAGCTGCCCCCAAGTGGGCAGATCACATCAGTTGATGCAAATTTAAAGTGCTCAGTGTACGTTCTGCTATTCTTGACATTCCCCAGATTGTCGACGCCATGAAGCGCATGCACGAGCGCCAGAATATTGGGAAAGTCATCCTTCTCTCTGAACCCAAGAAGGAAGAAGAGAAGCCAAAGACCAATGCTGAGCCAGGAGAAAATGTGGAAAAAACTGAATCTGTCATCACCGAGGAGGAAGAGGCTGCAGAGGAAGTTAATGCAGAGACGGACTGAGAGAAGGGTTTCAAGCACTTCCTTGTCAAGTTGTCAACAAAGGAAAGAAAATAGAAGAAAATCAAGATGCCAGGAATTGTTTGTCTTTGTCCCTATTTCCAAATGTGTATCAAGTTTTGTTGTTTGTTGTGCAATATGTTTATAATCTAAGGTTTATGTTGGGAACACTTGTGTTTTAAATAAAAGTTCACTGTTCTGTTGCAGTACCAAAGGAATAATGTATTCTGATTACAGATGACATGCCCCCTGACAACAGCTCAGAAGGAGTATCTGTAATAACCTAAAACCACGGCTGGCATGTATAGAATTGTCCCAATGTACTTTGACTGAGGAGTAAAACAAAATCTTGGTGAAAGTACACGTCATCGTGGTAAAGATTATCCATCGTGCATTTTATAATATGCCTCAGTGTAAGAGGAAAGCTTATATAAAACATTTCCCCCAGTAATGTTAACAGTATCAGTGTGTGCTACTTTGGGTTTTTATTCATAAGTATATAAAGAATATTTAACTATTTTAAGCGAGAACTGCCTGTGGAAGTTCTAAAGGTTTCATTAAAAGTTAATTTGACAGCTGATGGGTGGCGATCTTAAGCACCATTGTGACTAATGAGCAACCTGAGGATCACTCATGTGTGGTGGATAGATTAGATGGGCACCGTGTATCAAGTTTTGTTGTTTGTTGTGCAATATGTTTATAATCTAAGGTTTATGTTGGGAACACTTGTGTTTTAAATAAAAGTTCACTGTTCTGTTGCAGTACCAAAGGAATAATGTATTCTGATTACAGATGACATGCCCCCTGACAACAGCTCAGAAGGAGTATCTGTAATAACCTAAAACCACGGCTGGCATGTATAGAATTGTCCCAATGTACTTTGACTGAGGAGTAAAACAAAATCTTGGTGAAAGTACACGTCATCGTGGTAAAGATTATCCATCGTGCATTTTATAATATGCCTCAGTGTAAGAGGAAAGCTTATATAAAACATTTCCCCCAGTAATGTTAACAGTATCAGTGTGTGCTACTTTGGGTTTTTATTCATAAGTATATAAAGAATATTTAACTATTTTAAGCGAGAACTGCCTGTGGAAGTTCTAAAGGTTTCATTAAAAATTAATTTGACAGCTGATGGGTGGCGATCTTAAGCACCATTGTGACTAATGAGCAACCTGAGGATCACTCATGTGTGGTGGATAGATTAGATGGGCACCGTTTTAATCTTGAAAGTCATCTTGGCTTTTCTAAATGCTGTATATTTGCATGATATTGATTATTCACTATAACAAAAACTATAATTAATGCATGCAAATGTGTTTCATAAAATAAAGTAGTGATTCCTATAGGGCATGGATTTTCAACCCATGGTCTGTGGCCTGCTGGCAGTCTGTGAAGACATTGCAGATGGTTCCTGACCATGCAATAACATAGTTTCACTGTAGGAATTTTTTTTTATATATATATATATTGTTCCATGTATTAGTCCTTGTTTGTGAATTATCGGACCCTTGCAAATATATAATATTTAGACTTGCAGGATTACAATAGTGCCCATCTGGTGTATCCACACCACAGCAGTGGCCCTTAGGTTAGTTCTTAGACAGAATGGTGGTCCCTGGGTCACAGTTTCTTGAAAAGCCCTGCATTTGGGAAACCACATTATTGAATGTATGGTCAGGGACCATCGAGGGGCTGTGGACCACTGATTGAAAACCCCTGCTCTACCATAGTAAATGAAATGTACCCACCCAGTTGTGATGTATAAATAAACATTAGTGTATGCTTTGCTAAGAATAGTGGTAGTGATCTGTTGGTATGCACTACTAAAATGAGTGAGTTGCTTTCCACATACTGTGGATGTTAGACAGTACTCTTTATGAGAAATACCCAGATCATCTAATTGTACTTTAACTGTTATCTCACATATTTGTTCCAAATTTAAAGCCAGCTATTACCACTGCCATCAAGCCAACTGTGAATAACAATTAGAGGGACTTTCTCCACCTTGGGCCTACTGCCAAACAGTGTCAGGCCTTATGAAAGCAGGTTGTCTTTCCTGAAATTTGTCCTGTGCCTTAGCTACTTAATTCTTTTATTGCCACTTCAAAAATGAGTAGTGCCAAGTTTACAGAACTACAGTTTAGTGTGTGTTAGTGACTCCTCATATTCACAGGTTAAAAGGTGAAACGTTGTGTGTTTATGTCCAACTTGTCCTGATCATGCTTTGTATCACTGGGCTCAATACATATCCATTTTGGTGCTCTTACAGTACCTAGAGATGGATTATTAGGCTTGACGGTAATTCTTTTATGTTCGTGTACAGCATCTGTTTTTTGAACACATGACCTAAAATAGTGGTGGAGTTTACAGTGGGCTCAGTATTTCAGATGTTTTGTCCAGCTGTGGGTGTATTTCAATGCTGTGACACAGAAGAGGCTACTGAGGCACAAGAGGAAGAGTTTTCCATCCATCCGCCCCAAACCAGCTCCTCACATTCCTCTGTCCGCCCGCTCAGTCCTGCTTTCTGTCTCTGTCTAACATCTCGCACTCTCCTGCACACATTGTTTTGATTTCTGAAGAGCAGCCTACTAGTAACAAAGCTTTCCAGATCAAGTTTTATGTTATTTACATTTGTGGCATTTTTTTCTCTTGGTCCCTTGGACAATTATTAAGTTTGGCCAGGTTTTCTTGTCCTAGTATGAGGTAAGATCTGATGTGGATTTGGAGTGGTAACTGGAGTCTGATTGTTCGTCTTACTAAACTCGGGGTTTTTAGTCTTTATTTTAGGGTCTTACTCTATTTATTTATGAACCCACAAGCCCAAAGTTGGCCTGCATGATAGAAAGAAATGTTATCAACTGAGAGTTACAATTTTCAATGACCAAATCATAGAGGAGTTTAACTGAGGAGCACGTTGAGTCTTGCAGATGTTCACCACCAATTTTAAATAACTGTTGGTGAAGAGAAAACATAAAATACACATTGGAGTCTTCTAATCCCTCTTTGCTAATATTTCAGAAATGCTAAATTTAGGTCCTAAAGTATATTTCAAGTGTTTGAGTGCAGTCAAATGTAAACAGACGGGAAAACTAGCAACACGATTTCACTGTGTCAAAATATAGCCGCTGTAATCTAAAGTTTTTGTGTACAATGTGAGAAAAGTGCTGTGTTTCCTATAATGTTTACTGTACCTGATACATTTTCTGTCATACAGCCAGTGACATCTAGTGGTCAGTGAAAAGTGGTGCCTTTACAACAGTAAAATACACCCCATTGTTGCCTATGAACAAAATGTACTGTAGCCTGCTGTAATGTAAAACGTCATGCATGAAATAAGCTGGTTTCCGTCTACAAAAAGCAGAATATGATACCATCCTGTGTACAATCGCTCCTCATTTTTACAAATGTTGTATGTGTTAAGACATTACATTTGTTCAACGAAAGCCTTATAGAGTCCAAAGCTTTTAAGTAACAAGAAAATATTTGCCTTTTTTAATGTCATTCAAAGGTATCACTAAAAAAACTGCAACATTATTTTAGCTTTAAAAATGTATGAATATGTTGGATATACCCATTCAGGTATCCAGGCTTAAATGTTTCATTCATTTATGTTTTTTTTTATATAACTGTCATTATGCATGAGCTGAATGCAGAGCAACGTTGCAAAAAGTTTGAATGTGTTACTGCATTCATGATTGTCTTAGAACCACGCTGCCTTTTATGCACACTTGTATAGAACTGTGTTCATATGGCACTGACCTGTCTGCACTATTAAAGTACAGTCACATTAAATATGACTTTTACTGACCTTTACAAGAAGCTTTATTATCACATGACACTGACATGACATTTGACATTTACATTTACAACCTACAGCCTATTTTATCAGTTGTCCTTGACTGGATTTTATCAGTAACATTGACCTGGAAACTATTTTACATGGCTGAGTGTTTACCTTGAATATACACAACAACCAGCAGGGGTCCACATGTGCACGTGTAAGAAGTGACAGCTGCTGAACTGAAGAAACTAATGTATAATGGACAGTAGTATTTTTCTAACTTACAACTACAAGCATTAGGTTTTTCTAAAACACAATTAATTATCAGCATCGTCTTTTGAGCAGTGTGGATTGTTGTAGTTAAACATGTTTCAACAGTGAATTGTGGCTTTTCATAGACACAACACTGTGTGCTGTTGAGGGACCAGGTCTCTCTGGATTATCCTAAGAGGACTGGGGGTCAGCCTGTCATCCATGATTCAGCTTCCTGTTCTGCCCAACATGCCAGAACTTATGGGGAAGTTCCCATGATCATTCATGATTATGACTGAGTGATGTGGCATTTTGATGACAACAGTCATTATTATTTGTAGCTGAACAAAGTCAGCTGAGTTTAGGTTTGACAGTTTAGATGCCCAAGCACCAGACAAATGCAGATATTCAGATTTCACCCCTGAGTTGTATTCTTGTGATTTTTCAAACCATAAAAGTGTTCTTCTATCACTCAAATTTGTCATTCATTCAATTATCTCAGAATATTGTTAATGAACTATCAAAGTTGAGGATCGATTGCCACATATGAACCAAAGGGTGAGGAGTCTCAGTTGTTCTGATTCAGTGTCACGATGGAATTATGCTTATCCTCCTTTTCCTCTTTTCTATATCATAAATATTCCTATATCTAAACTCTGGGTGTTCATCTTCTTCTTATCTCACTCAAGTCTATCTAGCCCTTTGTACAGCACATACTTTACACAGTCTTGGGAAATTACAAGCTGTTCTTAGTTTAACTCTCAGCTGTCCACACTGAATAGCTTATAACTGCTGCAGCCACCGGAAATGCTTCCATGGATTTTTAGGGGGACTTAGCACAAGACCGAGTGACAAAGCAAAGCCTTTAATATACAATATGCAATATACATCATTGCACATGAGTAAGAAACAACATTCAGAGATAATATTTATTTGAAAGTGATGAAAGTATGACCACTGAAATGCAATAAGATTTGCTATTTTCTCCTTAACGGCTACTTACTTCCAAAACTGCAATTAAAATCATGTTCTTCTGTGAAGCTTTTAATCTGAAACGTTTGGGCGGAAGTCGTGTGTTTACACTAGTTTATTTGACAAAGTGGCTTTAAATTGGAATAGCCTCTGTGTGCTGCTATGGGAGTCTCCTTTAAAAAAAAACACCCTGTCGCGTCACTGGATGCGGTTGCCGGAGCCGGGCACGTAGCCTGCCATCCCCGCTCATACTCCCACCGCTGGTAGGCCTGTTTTCCCCTCTTCTTCCTAACATATCTTCCTTCTGCATCTTTTCTCTGTGCGTGAATTCGTTGTTTGAATCTTTGTCGCTCGGACATACAGTGTACCCGGTCACCCTGATGAGTCCTGACAGAGCCGCGCTAATGACTTTCAGTAACCTCTAACGTTACTGCAGGAATACCGCACCGCGCAGGGGGTAAGATTAGATCCCTTAGTGTGTAAATACCCTATGTCCTATTAATAATACACACTAGCTGCTGTGGGAGACCAGGTGGACCCTCACTTGGTGCAATGCGTCAGTGCAGCAAATTGGAGATTAAACCAAAGACAAAATCTGGTCTGTTTGTGACATGAACTGTCTTAAAATGGCACCTATACACTTTTTTCTGTGCCTTTAAGCTACATTGCGCAAAATTATTTTAAAGATAGATGTGCATCCTTATATAAAATCTCTGTATATATGTTAGGTTTACATTTAAAGGGTTTGAAGGGTTAAACTCTTAATATAACATGATTTATTTTTTTATGTATGGTTTTGTGGTATATTTTTTGGGGCACAAATTTTCGGTATAGAAAACCTGCGACCTAAGACATCTGTCACCAGTTTGACAACACATGCACAATGATTAAAACATGCTGCAAGGTGAGAAAACATAACCAAATGCAGAAACAAGGTGCAAATAGAGAAAACAAACAAATTGGTCTACAGAAACAAGATGTGGATACAGAAAACAAACAAACACAGAGACACTTCAAAAAGCACAGACAACAATGAAACTGTTTTCCAGGGACACTAAAAAGGTTTGATGTTTGCTATGGTGACCCAGTTGAAGTCAACTATCCAACAGTGGAATGAAATATACAGTCTCTGAAATGTAGTGGAGTAGAAGTATAAAGTAGTACAACTGTGCAAAGTAGATTTATTTATTCCCATCTCACCACTGCTGGTTTTGTCTTTACCATTTATGTTAAAAGTATGGTGTGACACAGCGGCTCAAGTTACAACATATGCCTGCAAAATTTCAACTATGTAAATATGGAGCTGGCGCTGCTCTGAGGTCTGGCCATATAAACAAATACCTAAGTGATTTTTTTCGCCGGCATTCTTAAGCAATGTCTGTGCGGGTGGAAAACTTTGATAAGGAAGTGTATGACTGTATATTGCATATCAGACACAACCCTGGTGATCTGTAGATTCTTCAAGATCAAAACAGTTTGGGTGAGTTTGAGTTTTCTTTCCTTTAGTGTAATGGACATCCTGTTTATGTGTCCCCTTTGTTTAATTTAACATTTCTCCCTTTCCTTTCCTCTTGTAAACATATGTTTCCCATATTAGCCTTATTTTGATGTGATGCATTTATATTGAACCCTGGACACTGTGAAAAGTCTTTTTGGCATCTTTGCACTACCACTTTATTTTTAAAGTGTAATAAAACAGTAGCGTGCTCCTCACAGTCAGTTGTCCCTGACAAAGACAAAAACTTACCGCTTCCTCCCACTTGTTTTTCTTAGAGAGGTACCACCACTCACCATTTTCTCCATACACCAAAGATGACAGCTCACACGGCGGCAAAGGACCAGCGTTTTTTGGTGTTTTTCGACTTTGATGAGACCATCATCAATGAAAACAGTGACGATGCTGTGGTACGTGCTTTGCCGGGCCAACAGCTCCCTGACTGGCTGAAGAACAGCTACAGGGAGGGGCACTACAACGAGCACATGCAAAAGGTCTTGGCCTATATGGCAGACGAGGGTGTGACTGAGGACTCCATCCATTCAGTAGTGGAGAAGATCCCTCCAGCACCTGGACTCCTGAACCTCTTCCAGTATCTGCAGAGCCACCAGCAGGACTTTGAGATCGTGGTGGTCTCTGATGCCAATATGTACTTCATTGAGACGTGGCTGGAGCGTGCTGGGGTGCGTCACCTTATCCAGAAGATTTTTACAAATCCAGCCAGCTTTGATGCAACTGGCCGGCTTGTGCTGCTCCCCTTTCACTCCCATTCGTGCTCCCGTTGTCCTAACAACATGTGCAAGCAGATGATCCTTAGGGAGTATCTGGCAAGCCGGCAAAAGAAATGTGGTGGTTCACCCTTCCAGAGGGTATTCTATATTGGAGATGGGGCCAATGACATCTGCCCCTCATTGGCTCTGGGTCCGCGGGACACAGCCTTCCCCAGGAGGGACTTCCCCATGCACAGGCTGCTGCTGAGGATGCAGCAGTCACAAGCAGCCAAGTTCAAAGCAAACATAGTTCCTTGGGTCAGCGGGGACGATGTTGTGGACTGCCTGAAGACAATAATGGCTGAGAGATGAGATGTGTGTGTGTGCGTGTGAAAAAGAGGGCAAGTATAACTAAGATGCAGCAGCATATGATTTTACCTCAGCCACACTTGGTGCAAGATGCAGCCAATCTGTGTGCACACTGTATATCGGAATCACCTGTATTCTTTCGTTTAGTAGTTTGACACTTTGGAAATATACTTATTTGCTTTCTTGTGATGAGTTAGATAAAAAGATCAATGCCACTCTGATGTCTGCTTACTTAGGAAGCAGCATTAGCAGTTACAAAGCAGCCAGTGTAAAATCCAGAAAGTTACTGCACCGGGTCAAGGAGTAGTTGGGCTGTCAAATGGCAATAGTCATTTGTACACTTCGGTTTTTGCACTAATTAAATAAATGACATATAATGTGTTCATTTAAAAAATGTATTTATTTAGGTTCCAGTCTTTAACCTAAGGCAAGATAATCTGCAAGCATATTTACCACACAGACAGGAGAGTGGTATTCTCATGCATTCTTTCCCTGCAAGAAAGCAATTGAGCGTATTTCCCAAAAAGAATATATCATTTTCTATTTTAACAGCATTTTCAGCACTCCCCATACAGAGACTAAAACCAACAAAGATTGCCTCTACCCACTGTTAATGTCTGTCAGTTTGTCACTCCTAGATCACCTTATTCATCTGTACTATAAACCTCCATTCAAGCTCAAAAATGATTAAAAACACATCAAGGAAGCACACCGCTGCCCTGGTTGACATGTTCCTTCATTACAAAACACCACACTCTAATAGAGTGTCTCAGTAGTGAGTCCTAAAACACAGAACTGAGTACTTCCAGTTTCTTCAGTTTGGTTAGATGCCTGAAAAAAAAGGCCAGCACATTTTCATGTTTTATTCTGTGACACATAAAATACACAAATAAATACCCAGCCGCGTCTCAAGCACAATATAAAAATCCCACTGGCTTTTTGTGGAGGGAACCAGAGTGATGCTAACTTTAGGCTGGCCTATGAAAATACATCCTCCCTTTGGCACTCTATATTTGTTAAGAATATTCAGAGATCTTGTGCATGGACATGTGATTCTTTCTTACTTCAGATGCTGTAAAAGGTTTTGGTCGCTCAGAGCCTTTGGGGCAACATTTAAAAAAAAAAGTCAGGGTCTGGCGTTTTGTAACAAGGAACCATGTCACCCAGTGCAGTGGTGTGTTTCACTGAGGTGTTTTTAATTGTTTTTCAATAACTATGGAGGTCTATGGTACAGACAAATGAGCTCATCGAGGACTGACAAATTGACAGACAGTGAGTAGAGGCAAATCACTGCTGCCTTTAGTCTCTGTATGCAGAATTCTGAAAATACTGTTAAAATGATTGGCCTTATCATTTAATTCATTAGTGTTACATGGACATGCAGTATAATACTCCCATTGGAATGCAAATAAAAAGCTCAGTGGTTAAAATGATCAGGATCATTAATGGAGATAGGTGCAGTATCGGTGATGCAAGTTCTAATTGTCAAGTTCAAGCATATCACCGTGTTTTTGAGTAAGGTCAGCTGTGACATTTTGCTTCACATGCACACTGAGAGTGTATTTAGTAATTTTGCTTCACATGCACACTGAGAGTGTACAGTATTTAGTAACTAAGAACAATTCCATGTTTAGGGGATCTCTATGCTGGCAGTTTTCTTTTCGGCACCTTGTACCAGGACTCGACAATGGACACATACTGCAGGTGGGATCAGGTATTATAGCACAGTCTAGGACAAAGGACCACACATGTTGTCAGGCCTGGCGTTGAACTGAGTAAGATGATGGAGACTCATGCACACTACCTGTGCTCTCATTACTGACACCTAATCTAGGGCTTGATTACACAATGGTAATCTACACCAGTGTGAGCTCCAGAGAGAACACTCTAGCCATATCCTTGCACTTTGGCCCAACTGTTATACCCTGTGACTCTGACATATTGAAAGAAAATACTGTAGTACTGATAAAAGACTGTGCTTAATGTTGGGGAGTATTTATATTCTCTGAAAAGTCCAATTTCTTCTTTATGTTTGAAGGTTAAAATATAATGTTGTGAGTGAAAGATAATAAGGGTTTCAGCCTCTTTGGTCTAATTGCATAATTAACTCAATATATACCCTCATTCTGCTTCACTAAATCCATGACGGGGACTGGGCAGTATTTTTAGAAATATAAAATAGGAGCACTTCTATTCACCAACAGGTTTTCTAAACTCCTATGATAATAGGGTGCACGTACTGTACATTAGTTGATTTCCTGGAGCCTATTTATGTTTTTTCCCCATGTTAATATGCACACAAGTAAAAAATTGCTGATATTAATCATGTCAAATGACTTCAGGCCAGAGGTACTATGAAGTGAAGTGTATTGTCACATTTGTTTTGTATTTTAAATCATTTTAACAAACTAAATGTGTGTACATATTTGTCAAGCCATTAAAGCTGGCAGCAAGAATGCTATTTGGATGCTGATGAAATCCAGGAAAGCAGGTTAATAATATGTTACAGTCAAATCCTGCTGGCCTTAAAAACAAAAGGATGCTGTCTAAATACTGGAAAGTTCCTTTAACCAGTGTTTTAGTTTCTCAGGGAGTAAAGAGGAAAGTGTTAACAAGTAAACATAGTAGTAATAATGCATGTTTATGAAAATTTGTTTATTTGCACTTTCACATTTGCTGCTCTAAGAACAAATTGTTTATTTGTGATTAAAAAGTGTTGATGTTAATGAGATGCCATCAATGCAGCAGTTTGACCCTGTAATTCCTTGATCAATATATTACTGCTTTGCGCTTAGCAGGTTTACTCCTTCTGATGCTAGAATTATGAACAATGTAACAGGAGTATTTATGTTTATTTGAATTGTCTGTGTACCTGTAAGACTTCCATTGAGATCTGTGCAATAATTACAATGCCGTATACTTGATATGATGTAAGAGAGATTTAAAGAAGAAAAACTTGACATTTTCAGGGATGTGATATGACCTCACCTCACCAAGCTATCCTGTTTTAATGCAATTTTAAAATGGTATTATGACTTCACAACAATCAAATAAATATGGTGTTTTTTGGACTTTAACTAATAAGAAGTTTCTTTTTTTCTTTTGTCTGGTTTGCTGTATTTTCAGTTGTGTGTAATGTATCAGTGAAACAGGAATATAAAACCATTATATGGTTCATCTGTTTCTGCTCTGTGTTTCATAGCCAGTACGCTAAACTAATTCCACACAGTTATAACTTAGGGATCAGTAACACTTGTACACACGTACACACGTACTGTGTTGTAGAATAATAACTGTCAAGGTTCATTTAGTAGCTTTTGGTCATATCACATGATCTTCATTAGCAGATGGAGTTGGCCCATTTCTCACAAGAATTCTTTTTTTTTTATTTCACACTTTAAGGACTTCTTGTATAAAAGTGTTGAATATATGTTAATATAAAAATATATTCTTACATTAATAGTAGCTGGACACTGATCATTTTTGGATGTGTTTATATGAAAATAATAGAATATATATTAGAGCTGAAAAAATATTGATTAACTGATTAGTCAATTGACAGAAAAAGTATCTATAGAATGAACCACTGATCTGTTTTAGCTGCACAGTCCATGTGATATCAGCACAGCTTCTAAAATGACCTTGAGTTGAGTTTGTTTTGTTAGCTGCCATGTTCATGGTCAATAATAAACTTTAACCCCAGAAAGGACATAATGTAGTTTTAAAAATAGTTGTGGACATGTGAGCTGAGACACGACTGTTTTAAGGAGGATGATAAACATGAGTCTGTAACAGGCAGCTTGGTAACATCTCAGCAGAAAGTCATTCTGAAGCTAATTTGGTTTTAAGTTTATGTTTAGGGAGAGACAATGTCAAGTCAGTGTCAAAGAAATTAAAAGAAGATGGAGGCGTGATATAGGAGAAGGGACAGTGAGTACCAAGAAGCCTCACATGAGACAACCGTTCTTTGGTATGTAGGTGACATATCGATTTAACAGCAGAAGAGGGAGGACAGAAGAGACCCGGAGTAAGAGGAGTCATCTCTCTTTTTCAATTTGCAGGACTGCAGTAAGCCAAGGGGCCATGTGAAGACAGAAGAGCAGGATTAGAGGAGAGTGGATGAAAGCGCAGACAGAAGTGTGGAGGTGGCAGGGTCAGTAGAAAGCAAGTCAGCAGCTTGGAGGGAGGAAAGGGAAGATGTAAAAGATGACTTGAGTAAACATGCCACCACCATAGGCCAGCTAGTGACTCAAAGCAGATTACTTGGTGTAAGCAAAGGGTGCCTATGACTACATTAACAGAAATGACAAGGGAAGAACAATAGAAAACTGGAAGATAGAGTTGGCAGCTACATGGCAGCTAACAAAACAAACTCAAGTCAAGGTCATTTTAGAAGTTGTGCTGATATCACATGGACTATGCAGTTAAAAATGTTAAATGTTTGTGACTGCACTGAGTTCAGTGACTTTGCAAGTGAGTACTGGAAAACAAAGGATGAAAATGAAATGTAACTTGATATTAACTTTGGTTGGGCACTTCACAGTGCAATTATGGCTTTCTAGAAAATTATGCTTATAAGATGTAAATAGAGAAAACACATTAGGCTGATGAGTTGTGTTCTAAGATAACTGTCTTGAGTTTAAATAATGAATGCTATATTGAACTGGTGGCCCTATTATGTCTAAAACATACTCTAGACTGGATTGTTTTACCACCTATTATAAACAATGACAATTGAGAAATACAGACAATCATTTCCTGTAGGTAGGATAGAAACTTTTTTCTTTTTTGCCAAACTCATAGAGGAATTTAATGAAAAACAAGTTTGGCTGAAGGCTCCAAAATTCCGTTTTCCAAGCTGACATTTTTAGTTTTAAAACTGGAGCTTCAGTAGCACAGCACTGGTCTGCAACCTGTGAACTGGAACCTCCCAAAGAGTTACCAAGACAAATCTGGGGTGTCCAAGACAATTAAAGATCCCCCCCAGACACTCATTTGTCTATCTTTGTATACATACCTCGACCAGAAGATGGCACCATCTCAATGAATCTCTATCAAAACCCTATCAACCCCCCCCTCACACACACACACACACACACACACACACCAATAACAGAAAACACCCATCTGTTGAAACAGACAGTGCCTTCCAATGATTGCTTTTATGGATAACCTCTCAGATTTTTTTTTTCTATTCAATTACTCCTTTCTGGGCTGAACAGTAACTCAGTTAAGAGACCTGAGTTTTATAAAAGGTCATTTTGAATCACAGTGTGAGCTTCCTGTGCTAAAACGCTATCAAGCCAATTAGGTTATTAGGTTTGTATGTGTTTCCACTCCCCTGTGTCATTTTTGTGCTGATGGATACGGTGTTAGCCAAAAGCCAAACTAAAGGTTTTGAGCAGAGGTCTCACCTGAACGAACAGCAACAGATGGAAAGGAGGAGAAAACGTGGGCTGACTGAGCTGACGCTTGGCTAATGCCCTTGATATGAATCGTACAGATAAAACAAAGATTCTTTTCAGGTAATCGGCAACAGAAACAGTGCTTGAATTGTGTCTGCTTGTCCTTGACACTGTTAAATATTACAAATAAACCTCACTGCACTGTGAGAAGCTTTCATGTATTCATGAACTGTTTAATTTTTTTCCTTTATAATAATGCCAGTGAGGAAAAATTCTTGATGATGCTTTACATAAAATAATCTCTCTCTCTCTCTCTCTCTCTCTCTCTCTCACACACACACACACACACACACACACACACACACACCCTTGCCGTGCACTAGTCCAGTGAGAGGGCCCTACTGAGTCCAGTTGCCTCCCTCTGCTCACAATCATGCTGTCTCTCTGCAGTCCAGCAGTTTCCGGGATAAACATTTATATTTGTAAGAACGTCAGCTTGGTGAAACTTTGAGGATATTTTATGAGTTGACAAGAATACTGACGTTTTTGCTATAATTCGGCGATACAAATGTTGCTCCTTCTACACAGTAGAGCCATATTTTGGCGGCTGATTGCTGACTTCCTAAAGCTAATCCAGCTTTGTGGCGTCGGGGAGCAGCGTCAAATGTGCGTCTGAAGGTGAGGATGCTGCTGTTACTTCACATGGGGCAGAAAAATATATGTTGGTCTCCTGTTTCTTGTGAGGACACGTTTGAGGAAAATTAACACTACTAGATTATAGGAGAAAGGTAAGGTACTAGAAGTAACGTGAGATGTGGGTGAATTGTAACCACACACTTGTTAATTTAAGGCTAATTAGCTTTTTTGGTTAGCATTAGTTAGCTACTATATGCTATGTTCAGTTACCTTAACCTGTAACATGGTTAACGTAGTTAATGTACTTGATACAAATTGATATATATATGTATCAATAAGCATTATAAAATATATTTTCACTAAGGTTAAAACGACAAGCCTTTTTTCCC